TTTTGTTGTTGCAAAAAAATTTTGTCTGCTGATGTTCAACAAACGGGACTGCTATGTCTCTCTGTTGGTGCCCATACGGTGCTGTCGTATTATGCTGGTGCATCGTTACCGGTGGAGCTTCACTGCCCTCTGCCTGCGCCGGCTGATGCGTCGCTGCATTTGCTGAATCCAGCATAATGACCGTTTGACTTTGGTTCGGATTCTGCGTTTCACCGTTTCTCCAGCTGCTGCTGTAATCCGGCGGAGCTGCTGCGCCTCCTGGAACACCATCGCTGCCAGATATGGTTGTGCTATCTGTACGTAGCAGGTTTCTATTAATTTTTCGTTATTTTTTATTAATATCAAATAGCGCGAGTGGCCCTTTTTCTGACACCACTTTGGCCTGTATGTCTGAGAGCGCGGTAAAAATAAAACTTCCGTTGAGTGACGAACAGCGATTAAAATTTATTTGCTTTTTGTTCTCTTGCTTTACACTCCTTTCGTTAAGTAATTAGTGATGAACAAACTTTTATACTAAGCTAATGAATTGATATCGATAACAATAATTCCAAATTTCGATACATTAAAAAATAGGAAATTGATTATAACTAAATGCAAAGTGGTGATTGCCACATTTATATGGTACCGAAGGGATAGTATAATCACCCAAAAACTTATGCACATAAAAATACATATTTACGTTTTAGTTGCATTTATCTACATTTAAGTTAAATTTTTTCGGCAAATAGGTACAATTAGAAAATTTAATTTTCATCCCCAGTGTGAAAAGATATTTTATGACATCAGCGAGTAGGTGGATGCTGCCAAATCAACGAAGAGAGGGTTAGCGGTCCGCAAACAGCGCCACCTTTATTTTCTACATCGTGTAATAACGGGCCTGTGAAATGCGCCACCTTATATACTTATGTTAAACTTTGCTATGCATTTACCATTCATCATTTTGCTATTGTTGGGAACATTTGCATTTTGTCTTGAGCGAATTATTATATTGGAAGTTAAAAAAGTAAAAACAAAATTGAATACGTTGGGTGTAAGTATTCTCACGCAGTGTTGTTCATGAATATTAACTCATATTAAAATACTTAATATTTTTTTAGAAATGGACCGACGTAAAATAAATTATCACTTTCTTCCCGTTGTTAGTTTCTATCTTCATATAGGGACAGGAAACCATAAAGTAATTTTTTGCGTCTATTCAACATTCTTCACGGCACCTGAATGACAAAATATTACATAATTATCGCAATGTAGGAAAAACAACAGTACCGTTACTTTATTCTTGGCGTCTTTTTCTTCTTTTGTTTTATTTTGTCACTGCAGATCTTAAATTGTGTAATTCTTGCATAAGTTCGTATATAAATAAATAAAATTATGTGAAATATTTTCCTTTTCAATCAAGTCCGGGCAAGAAATATCGTTTTTAATGCAATTATTGATATGAAATATTAATTGCATCTCTCGTTAGTATGTTAATTTAGTGGCCCTAGCATTCGCTGCCAAGCGTTAACTGTAGCAAGCATACTTTTAACGTGCGTTCTGTCAAACCAACGCCAACGCCAAAGCCAACGCGAAAGTTCTATGTGTGCCGGTCTTGAGTTTGGTGTTCACACGTCAGCTGTGCAACTAGCGATACGAAATCAGCACGTGTGTCAAGTTAGCACTACACTTTTCGAATTTGGAAAAGTTAACTACGGCATTAATTGTAGTGTTTTTGTTGTAAATTTGTTGTGGAAAGAATAATTTTGTAGCTCTCGTTTTTTAAGAAAAAATGGTATGTAGTGCTAACTTGAC